GATCACACTATCTCTACAGTACTTGCAACTTTTGTAAGAACTCAAATAATCTGCTCTACAGATCTATTTACAAAGTTGTTACCAGGCTGAATTGTCACATGATGCTCACTTCCTGCTAAAAGAGTGAAAAACTGTGCAGTAAAAGCAATGATATTCCCCTACTACTTTTATAATCTCATCTCAATCATTTTCAGTTTTCAGGTAAACCAACTGGCAGAAATTGGCAGAATCCAGTGAAAATGGTTAATAACCAGATTTTTTTTATGATGAAACAAAACTATGAATGTCTCAGTCACAAACAGTTTTTTTTTTTTTTTTTTTTTTTTTTTTTTTTAAGTGTTGTGGGTTTTTTATTGGACCAATTGCTGCAGTTTATACTGAATTTTATAGCTAAGACCCACTTCTAGGAACAAATGAAAATTGACAGACATCCACCAACTTTACTGAAATGACATATTAGACAAATTCAAACCTGTACCCCTAAAGCTCATGGTTGATTGCAATTTCAAAATTAGAGATCGTTTTAAAAATAAGCTGCAATAACAGTGCCTGAGATGTAACTATTAAACATTATAACAGTACTTTTTGTACGAGCTCACTTTTTACAGTGCGTCTTCTTGATCAACCATCTTCCAGAGACAGATGTTCTTAGGGCAGATCTCATCCTGCTTTGCCTCCTTTGTTTCTTGCAACTACAGTTAAGATGACAAATTAGCACCTACAAAAATATACAATTTGTGCAATAGGAAATTGAGGTCTTTGAGAAACCACATCCCAGCACCAAAGCATCAACACACAATGATTTTGTGCAAACACCAAGGCTAATATTGTGAAATGCTGTATCACCATAAATGCCAAACCAATGGTTGAAGGTGCCAAAATAGGTTACTGTACATTTCAGTTTATGCTTCTGACATAACTTTAGAAACTATAGACAAGTTTTCAGGGAGAGCAGAGGATAAGTTTTCTCAGCCAAAGTTTTCTGCTGAGCCAGAAGTGTAAATGCACCTACATTAGCTGTGACTTGGCTATGCTGATTGGAAACAAGTCCAGCAGCAGAGATTACAAGGAATATACACTCAGCTGCATTTGAAGATGTGAAATGAGGATCATGAGAAAGGAAAGAGATAAAGCTGGAGGCAGCTGACAGGCAGAGGCACACATAGAACAGAGAGAAGTATCAGGCAGTTGGTGGTTATTGGCCTGAATCACAGAATAGTTAAGGTTGGAAGGGACCTCTAGAGATCATCTGGTCCAACCCTCCTGCTCAAGCAGGGACACCTAGAGCACGTGGCGCAGGGCAGCATCCAGGCGGGTTTTGAAGATCTCCAGAGAAGGAGACTCCACAACCTCTCTGGGCAGCCTGTTCCAGGGCTCTGTCACGCCCCCCACAGGAAAAAATTTCTTCCTCATCAGGAGGTGGAACTTCCTGTGTTTCAACTTAACACCCATTACCCCTCGTCCTGTCACTGGCCACCACAGAGAAGAGCCTGACACCATCCTCCCTACAGTACCCCTCCTCAGGGACTTGTACATGTCGATCAGATCCCCTCTCAGTCTTCTCTTCTCCAGGCTACACAGGCCCAGCTCGCTTAGTCTTTCCTCATACAATAGATACTCCAGCCCCTTAATCATATTCGTGGCTCTACGCTGGACCCTCTCTAGACACTCAATGTCCTTGTTGTGCTGGGGAGCCCAGAACTGCACACAATACTGCAGGTGCAGCCTCACCAGAGCTGAGCAGAGGGGCAGGATCCCCTCCCTCGACCTGCTGGCGCCCCCTGATGCAGGCCCGGAACCCATTAGTTTTCCCGGCCACAAGGGCACATTGCTGCCTCATGGTTAACTTGTTGTCAACCAGGACTCCCAAATCAATCTCGGGAAGTGCTTCAGGGTGTCCCTTCAAGACACAGAGACCAATCACGGCCAATGTAAGGCATCAGCAGCCCCAACACTGACAAAAGAGAAGCATCTGGGCATTACAGGACTGGAGCTTCTAGTAAAGCATTAATTTATTTCATACAGGAGAATTAATAAAAATAATAGTTATAACTGTATTTCTGTATTTTAGGATTAAAATTGTTCAATTTCCTGCGTTTCTCCTCTTATTCAGATTTCAACAGGTGGTTTGTATTTTCTTCCTTCCATGAAGTTCGACTGTCACTACAGCAGGCATGCTGCAGCTTTTTAAAGTGCTACAACATTATTTCTACCAGCCTGGCCTGTAATTGCTTCATTAGCAGTATCTTAAATTGCCAAAAATGTTAGTTTACTTGAAATCACAACACTAGTCCCATTTACCTAGATGTATCAGCTAAATAAGCAAAAGCAATATGCTTTACATGTAAAGTTAGCGGGTCTTCATTCATTAAGTTTACTTGCCCCTGCTCTAATGTTACAGAACACCATAATACAAAAGTCCTTACTGGCATATCTCCTCCCAGGAGGAGAGAGAAAGTTGGTGTTGACAGTTATCAGGTTTTCTCACTAGCCCTCACAGGAATTTCTTGTTAGGGCACTATAAAACACAGAAACATCACTATCTGGAAGGCAGTGATACCTGCCTACTGAATTAGCAGTCTTAACGATTCACCTTATCAACCTCAAAAGCAGTTGTTTCAACACAAATCATACAAATGAGGGGTGGGGAGGGGGAATGTGACAAAGCAAAATCCCACATTTTTACCCCTCAGCAATCAAGATCAGGACCCTAGTGCAAAACACTGACCTCTTTTAAACAAAAGCATCAACGACCGGGTAAAGCGATTGAATAGTTGCAGTCAGAGCTGCCAGTGAAGGCAATTCGCTTGGTTTTACGCAGCGCCCTCCCACATCGGAAATACTCCCTGCCGGCGCTTTGCCCGAGGGAGGCCCAACGCCAACGGCCGCAGGAGGCGCCCGCGCGCCCAACGGCCGCCCG